TGATGATATTCTGACTAGAACAGACTTGTTTTCTATTTTTTTAAATTGCAGAGGGATATTCGGGACTTGGAACGAGTTCCCAAATGTAACTTTGCAACCAATGGTATGTAGCCCACAGACTAGATCCTTAGTTTCCTGAAGTCACCCTGGCCCATTTATCCTCCGGATAATGTTCCCATTAGGCTTTGGTGGGACGCTATGATGAGATGAAGCATTTCCTGACTTGGTATTGTCACCCCAGGGTGTCACTGATCAAGGTGTGATTGGTTGTAATCTTCTCTCTGAGCTGTTAAATCTAAATGCCCTCTGAAAGCGTAACTGATGTGGGGTGAGCCTGGGGTGTATTAATTAGTCTGACAATGTTGCAAAATGTTTTGCAAAGGAAACAGTTTACTCCAAACTGAAAACATTTTGCTACAAAAAAGAGATTTCTATTGGACAAATTCAGGTAGGGATCCCTCCCAGTTTCGTTCTGTTTGGTTTCTAGTGAAAACAACCCTGGTGTGCCATCTTAGAATTGTATTTCCATATGTCCTACCATCCTACTACACAGTAGTGTGGATTTTATGGGTTGAACCAAAACAATGCAAAGTACTTTGAGACTTTGTACTCTGCACACTTGTTGCTCGGTTGACGCAAATCTTTTTTGGCATCGAAGGCCCCCACTTGTCTACCATTTGCATAGATGGGAATCAGTTTAACCCTTTACTGCCAGTTAACTGGTCGGTGGACATTTGGAATGGATGGCTGTATACTCTAATATGGTGTTGTCTTACGTTTCAGAAGTTGTATATATGTATAGCGGACGTTTTACAGGCTCCTTATCAATTATGCTCTGCATTGTTGGAAATTGACCCGTAAGTAAGCATTTCACTGTTAGTCTACGAAGCATGTAACAAATAAAATGTGTTTTGAGCTGGATCCATCTGACCTGAGGTGCATCACATTCTCAAGACTAGGCCAGCGTCCAAAGGAAATGGCCTTTGTCTCTACTCTAAACATAGACTGGGCCGGACTCCAGAAACTTTTGAGCTGATATTTTAATGAGTGAGCTGGATGAGAGGCCATATCCCCTCTATCATATTAGCTGAACTCTCCAGCCAGACCGCAATCGATCACATTCACCTAAATCGGCATGTTGGTTGTGACCTGTTTCTAAATTTAATTTATTGCAGACGTTTAAAGGGATACTTCGGGATTTTGTCAATTAAGCCCTTTAATCTACTTCTCCAGAGTCCGATGAATTCATCGATACCACTTTTATGTCTCTGCATCCAGTATGAAGGAAGTCAGAGTTAGTTTCACGAGCCAATGCTAACTAGCATTAGCACGATGACTGGAAGTTTATGGTATCTACTAGCAATTGCACTAAAGCTCGTTAGCAACTTCCTTCAAACTGCACGCAGAGACATACAAATGGTATCCACAAGTTTATCTGACTCTGGGGAAGTAGATAAACGGCTTCATTGCCAAAATCCTGAAGTATCACTTTAATGAAAAGTGCCTGTTTGAACACCAATTAAATATATATATATATACACACTGAAAAATATATAAAACTGTCACGAGAATTGTTATCTCAATGATTGAAGTCAAACACTAATTAAATCTTTGAATAATTCCCAGAGGGGTAAATCTCTAGGTTAAATTAATTAAACAAAGACCCCTTAATTGCAATGGTCAGTAGGTTTATTCATTGAGAGCGCTCTGAAAATCATACAATGCACAACGTTTTTTTTATACCTCTACTACGCCCCTAAGTGGGCCAATGAGAAAGCTCCTAGCCCATATTTAGGCAATTGTCACATTTCTCTGTAAGCTTGCACAGCAACCTAGTTGTCTCTTCCTGTACTGGTTTCAGAAGACACAACTACTCTGTTGCTGGGCAGATATGCATCTTATACAGGCACATACGGTGGGGACATGCTTCTCAGTGTCTAGTTTTACATCCTGTTTTCTGTTATCGGTTTCAGTTGCTTTCCGCTTGCATAGATCTAAAGATAAGCCAAAGCCTTTGTTTTACTTCTAACTAAGCTTAACACATTATTAGATTATAGTCTTATTATTCTTAATACATTTCACAAAGTGGAGTGTAATAATTAGTAATTACCAAATTATTCTATCAAAAACGCAACATGCAACAATTTCAAAGATTTTACAGTTCATATGAGGAAATCAGTCAATTGAGAAATTCATTAGGAAGTAATCTATGTATTTCACATGGCTGGGAATACAGATACTGTACCGCCGAAAAAAAATGCTAAAAAGACCATTGGGCATCTTGCCAGAATTCAAACAAAATTAGCACAAGTAATAGAGAATTTCCATGGAGGCTGCTAGCTAAATATGCTAACGAGCGCAAATGAAAATAAACTAATTGCAAAGACAGACAATCCAGCTCAAAGTTATACATATAGGTAGGAGCTACCAAATGTTATTTTTGTTGAGTTTGGACATTTACAAGCGAATGTGAATGAGAGACATTGTGCAAATGAACAAAGTTTTGAGGCACGCTTGTCTGAATGAAGAACGGTACTGGCTCTGAAGCAGCATGCCTACACCTGTGTGGAGTCTGGGATTCGCTAGGGCAATGGGCCTGCCTGCTCTGCGAAGATTGTGGAGGAGCAGAGAGGAGAAAAAACCCAAGCAAATCAAAAGATAGCAGTGGTAGCTGTACAGATAACTCATCCAAAGGTCCTTGACTTCTAAAACACGACAGAAAGCTTACACAATATGATGCCCCGTCACCTTAGAGTAATTTGCTTAGATAACTAGCAAGTTAAACTTAGGGGTCACGTTAACGCAGAATTCTTCATTTTTCACACCGAAAAAATATATAAAATGCATAAGTCTCTTGCTGCGTTTTGTAAACGCAGATCTAAAATGCTTCTTATTGTAATTTTTGTTCTGCATCAGACTAATTTTGTGCTCAGTTGCACTTCTCCACTCCGATGACAATTCACGAACGGCATTCAATCAACAGACAGCACTGACAATGTGTAGTTACTTTTCTCGGTGTAGCCAGCCTACTTTTCTCAGGTAAAATGCAATATTAACTTTAAGCAAAACATTAGGAAATGTAGCTGGCTACATTCTTTCTATGATACACATTGGAAATATGATGACCATGCATCGGTTTTGCAAAAAAGACCTTGCTTTTTCATTGTAAGCTATTTTACTTGTGTGGCAGCCAGCCAAATAGCGTTGCACTTCTGTTGTCATCTGATGAAAATGAAGCTATTTTCTGCCGAATGTGTTGCACCAATGTATTTTATGTGAAGGAAAACTATAGTTGCACGTCCATGATCACTCTTGAAACAAATGACACTTGACTTTCAATATAAAACGCGACCCCTGTCAATACACAGCTGGACTCGCCTGCAATACATTAGGAAATAAAGCAGATCGCATTAATTTCACCTGTCACATTATTTTACAAGTTGACTGCAGGCATTTACTTAAAGTAGTGGGCGGCAGGTAGCTTGGTGGTTAAGAGCATTGTGCCAGTAACCGAAAGGTCGCTGGTTCTAATCCCCGAGCCGACTAGGTGAAACATCTGTCGATGTGCCCTTGAGCAAGGCACTTAACCCTAATTGCTCATGTAAGTCGCTCTGGATAAGAGCATCTGCTAAATGACTAAAATGTAAATGTAGTTACAAATATTAACATTTATTGAACAACTTAAAATAGTTTCAACGGTATTGGCGGCACTGAAAACCATCCCTTGGCTATTTCCAAATACCCCGGTATAACACAAGCCTATTGGATGCACTGCCAAATTCTCTAAAATGACGGAGGCGGTTTATGGTAGAGAAATGAACATTCAATTATCTGGCAACAGCTCTGGTGGACATTTCTGCAGTCAGCATGCCAATTGCAGGCTCCCTCAAAACTTGAGACATCTGTGGCAAAACTGTACATTTTTGAGTGGCCTTTTATTGTCCCCAACACAAGATGCACCTGTGTAATGATTATGCTGTTTAAATCAACTTGATATGTCACACCTGTCAGGTGGATCGATAATCTTGGCAATGGAGAAATGCGCACTAACAGGGATGCAAAAAAAATTGTGCACAAAATTTGAGAGAAATAAGCTTTTTGTGCGTATGGAACATTTCTGAGATCTTTTATTTCAGCTCATGAAACATGGGACCAACACTTTACATGTTGCGCTTATATTTTTGTTCAGTATATATTTGTCCAGGCCTCAATTGTGCCTTGACTAGCACCATTCATTCTCGCTGTCAATAATTCTGTTATAATAGGAACTGTATTCACTGGTTAAATGAGTATTCAAATGGTTGTTGCCATGTTAGAGAAAAAAGTATAATTGCAGCAGTGATGCCTGCCAGCAGTAATCTTCTCTGATTGAGAGATTTAAGGGGCTATCATCGTTAAGTAACATAGATGGAAAGCACTGAATATTTAAATGCATGCACTTCGAAATTAATTTTGTAACTTTACCCCAGAAGCATTTACCTCCCACATCATATGAAGGAATGCGCCTACCTGATTTAGGGGACACAGTGAACAGTTGGAAGTTGGCCAATTTCATTGTAAAGTGTTTCCTTGGTGTTAAATACAGCCTGTGAACAAACTTAAAATGTATAAATTGATGGTTCGGATTACGGGATGACAAGGTCATATTTTTCCCATACTCTGTTCCAGTTAAAGCATGGTTCAGATTCAATTCACTCTGTGGACCATACTTTTTTAATGGCTAGCTCAGAATGAGCTTTCCTAAAGTTGTTTATATATTATAGAGATCAGTCCTTTCAGGAGGCCTCATAATTGATTGATAAATCCCATCATTGGATGTTTCGGTAGTTGGGTTTCCCAAGGGGAATAGCTGACCTAAGTTGTAAATATAGGAAAAGGGAGTTGATATTGAGATAAAAACAGCTGCATTGGGCCTTTAAACTATCATAACTGCTAGGGATATGTTTACATTTACATTTTAGTCATTTAGCAGACGCTCTTATCCAGAGCGACTTACAGTTTTTTTTTTATACTGGCCCCCCGTTAGTGCCTTAAATTATTTACAAATGGTCATAAGGGATATAGTCAATAACTAACTAATCAGTTACAGTATAAATTGTCATTGTGACATGATTGTCAAAGTCCCTCATGGGAATGGAAATAAGATTCTCTCTAGCTCTCTGGTGAGTAAATCTTGATGAGATGATGAAGTTCAGTGGGGTACCCAGTCATCGGACATCTCTGGTTGGCTTTGATGTAGACATAAATACAGCGGTAACAGAAGACAAAACCAGAGGTGGAGAGAACGGTATCATTGGTGCGGACCTTGCAGCAGAGCGGACATACTTTGCTCTGTCTGGTCAGTGGTTGTTGGTCCTGGAGGTGGATGGGAGGGGGTGGTGTGGGATGGGAGGTCAGGGTCTTGATGGTGCTCTGGTTCTCTGAGGAGTACCACCACTCGAGGAACTGCAGGAAAAACACTCCCAAGGAGAGACTAGTGGAGAGGGACAGAGCCACACCCCCCACCACTGTCGACGTCAGCCGCCGCAGCCTCTCACCAACACTGGGAAGAAAGAACAACAGAGGGAAGTATGCTTATAGGCTAAATGCTTTAAAAGTGAATAAAGCTCTTTGAACTCGGGGTCCCTTGAGACAGGATGTCCCAATTTCATTCTTACCTTGAGCCGATGGCCGTGGAAGGGGTGGCTGGTTTGAGGTCCATATTTGTGATGTCATGTCCTGTGAGGTGAGCCAGCCTGACACCTGCCAGCCACAGAAATGGTGAGTGGGTCTTGGCTAGGCCAAACACATACAGCAGCTGCTGGCAGAAGACCCAGCTGTCCCAGCCCATGCTGACATAGGGGTAGGATGCCAGGAAGGCCCTGTACATCCTTTGCAAGGGCGTCTGTGGTAGGCGGATGGAAAAATCATCCTCGTCCCTCTGCTTGGCCAGTACCTGTTCCAGCTTGGCCCTCAGGTAAGGAACGAGGGCAAGCAGGATCAGCGAGCACCAGTGGTGTTTCCCATGCAGACCCAGGTGAGCTGGCCGCTCGCGCCCCGAAGCAGCAACGCGCTTTAGGCTGTAAAAGTTCTCAGAGAATGAGGCGCTAGTCCGTGACAGAAAATGGTGCTGAAGCAATACGTCGAGAACAGCGTGAATCTCGTCAAATCTCCGCCAGAGGAATCCGTAGCGAGAGGGGTTGGACTCAGCCAGAACCTGAGGTAATAGTTGAGAGAAGTTAGTTGCATCATATCAAACTTGAATCATACATTAATATCAGTGCAGCAAAGTCAGTATATGGACACCACGTATTAAAAAGTCATACAAGGTCTAATACAAACTATTTAACACATCAAGTGATCCAACATCATAATGCTATTTCTGTAGTCTAGTAGGATACCTTGATGGGCCAGCATTCTCCAACTCACCTGCACAAATACACTGCTCAAAAAAATTAAGGGAACACTAAAATAACACATCCTAGATACGAATGAATGAAATAATCTTATTAAATACTTTTTTCTTTACATAGTTGAATGTGCTGACAACAAAATCACACAACAATTATCAACGGAAATCAAATGTATCAACCCATGGACGTCTGGATTTGGAGTCACCCTCAAAATTAAAGTGGAAAACCACACTACAGGCTGATCCAACTTTGATGTAATGTCCTTAAAACAAGTCAAAATGAGGCTCAGTAGTGTGTGTGGCCTCCACGTGCCTGTATGACCTCCCTACAACGCCTGGGCATGCTCCTGATGAGGTGGCGGATGGTCTCCTGAGGGATCTCCTCCCAGACCTGGACTAAAGCATCCGCCAACTCCTGGACAGTCTGTGGTGCAACGTGGCGTTGATGGATGGAGCGAGACATGTCCCAGATGTGCTCAATTGGATTCAGGTCTGGGGAACGGGCGGGCCAGTCCATAGCATCAATGCCTTCCTCTTGCAGGAACTGCTGACACACTCCAGCCACATGAGGTCTAGCATTGTCTTGCATTAGGAGGAACCCAGGGCCAACCGCACCAGCATATGGTCTCACAAGGGGTCTGAGGATCTCATCTCGGTACCTAATGGCAGTCAGGCTACCTCTGGCGAGCACATGGAGGGCTGTGCAGCCCCCCAAAGAAATGCCACCCCACACAGTGACTGACCCACCGCCAAACCGGTCATGCTGGAGGATGTTGCAGGCAGCAGAACGTTCTCCACGGCGTCTCCAGACTCTGTCACATGTGCTCAGTGTGAACCTGCGTTCATCTGTGAAGAGCACAGTGCGCCAGTGGCGAATTTGCCAATCTTGGTGTTCTCTGGCAAATGCCAAACGTCCTGCACGGTGTTGGGCTGTAAGCACAACCCCCACCTGTGGACGTCGGGCCCTCATACCACCCTCATGGAGTCTGTTTCTGACCGTTTGAGCAGACACATGCACATTTGTGGCCTGCTGGAGGTCATTTTGCAGGGCTCTGGCAGTGCTCCTCCTGCTCCTCCTTGCACAAAGGCGGAGGTAGCAGTCCTGCCGCTGGGTTGTTGCCCTCCTACGGCCTCCTCCACGTCTCCTGATGTACTGGCCTGTCTCCTGGTAGCGCCTCCATGCTCTGGACACTACGCTGACAGACACAGCAAACCTTCTTGCCACAGCTCGCATTGATGTGCCATCCTGGATGAGCTGCACTACCTGAGCCACTTGTGTGGGTTGTAGACTCCGTCTCATGCTACCACTAGAGTGAAAGCACCGCCAGCATTCAAAAGTGACCAAAACGTCAGCCAGGAAGCATAGGAACTGAGAAGTGGTCTGTGGTCACCACCTGCAAAACCAGTCCTTTATTGGGGGTGTCTTGCTAATTGCCTATAATTTCCACCTGTTGTCTATTCCATTTGCACAACAGCATGTGAAATGTATTGTCAATCAGTGTTGCTTCCTAAGTGGACAGTTTGATTTCACAGAAGTGTGATTGACTTGGAGTTACATTGTGTTGTTTAAGTGTTCCCTTTATTTTTTTGAGCAGTGTATATCAGCATGTGTGCAGGCTTTTGTTCCAGCCGTTTAAAATAATCAACCGTTGTTGGATAAACATGGTTTATAGTTTCTTACTGGGGTGTATTTATTACGTCTTTCTTCGGAAACAGTTTACCGTTTAAGAACCAAAAGGAACGGGGAAGGTCCTACCTGAATTTGTCCAATAGAAACTAATTTTGTTGCAAAATGTTTACCGTTTGGAGTAAACTGATTCTGTTGCAAAACGTTTTGCAACAGACGAAACGTTATGCAACAGACTCATTTTTACATTACATTTTAGTCATTTAGCAGACACTCTTATCCAGAGCGACTTACAGTTAGTGAGTGCATACATTTTCATACTGGCCCCCCGTGGGAAACGAACCAACGGCGTAATGAATACACCTCAAGTGTCTGCTGATGTAGCAAAAATTACAGGGGTGAGAAAATATCGTCGAACCTTCACAGCGTGTCGCAAGGCGGGTCTTACCGCACCCATCAGGGAGTCCTGTGCCAAGACCTCGAATATCGACGGTCTGTCGTCTGCAGCTGCAGTTGTCAAATGTGCACCACGTTCCGCCATGGCTGGTGACTTCAAACACGGTTGGCAAAAGGCTTAATGACCTAAATAGTTAGCCAAGTTGGCTACAGTGACCGCGAGTGAAGTTAGTAACGTAGTTCGCTTGCTTAGTAGTTTACCACTTTATACTACACAAGTTCAACAAATATAAATAGCTAGCTACATCAATTTCCACTGATGAAAATGGGACAGCCAAATCATGAAGAGGCATAGCTAGCTACCCTGATTTATTTAATTCAAACGTTACTGTTGAGCTGCTGGTGTTGTTTTCGTGTTTCTTTCACCTACTTCGTGCCCCTCTGTAAAGATAGTCCGGCTATTTCCGGTGGAAATGAAATGTAATCCGGTGTTACGCCTTTCTAGCTCCGACGCACTTCACTCATTTTGTTTTTCCGGGAGTGCTATCTTTCCACGGCTAGCTATTCCTCTGCGGTAATCAAGGAGTAAAAACATCTTTCCAATTGTGGAATAACGTCACATTTTCTTATTGAAATTACCACAAAACAAGTCTGTACCTTTCAATTTGTAATTATGATTTTTTTGTGTGTGCCGTTTTTACGTTAATGCTAACTAACGTTAGCTACCTAAATGTACAGAGGCCTCACATCCCTAGCCAGCTAACGATAGCTTAGTATGACAGATGTTTTCCCTCCTCCACTGGCCTGGGGTCACACGCAAGACAATATTTGCCTTGCCATTTAAAATACTTGGCTCTGTTGTTAGGTTAAGCTTGCTGCATTTATAATAGCTAGGCTATTGACCAACCTGTTTTTTCACTTTATTATAAAAGGCAGTAAACTGCCTTCAAAACTAGAAAGCTAGCTAGCTAGTCAGTTAGTTAGCTAACGTTAGCTAGTGAAAGTGACGCTGATTGCTGCTGTCGTGACATCCAGCTATTGTCTGTCATGGGGTGCTGTAATATTTGTGCTTTGCTTGTTATGTCTCATTCAACTGTATAAAACATATTTAGAAGCCAAGATTATATATATATATATATATATATATATATATATAACTATAATTATTAGCAATGTGTCGTCGTAGCCTCTAGGCCAGAGGTGTCGCGTCAAACACACGCGCGGGGGTCCCCATCAAGCCCGCAGATGGTTCGAGTTAAAAAAACGTTGAGTTTTTTTATTTAAATCACTACTTCATTGAGGCCTATTATATGTGTCCTGTCCTGTGTCCTCTAATGCTGGATATTTCCCTGTAACAGATTTGAAGAACATCAACAATGACTGACTCAAAATATTTTACAACAAATAAAAAAGGTGAGTCTTAAAACGATTCTTGGTATTGTCTTCTTCAATGACACATCACCCCCTTGATCAAGAGTGCATGCCTATCATTAGGCTGGTGTGAACAATATTAAACAGTGCAACATAACTCTTGATGGAAATAGATTGGCTCCTACTCTCCTCACAGACAAAGAATGTATGAAATTACCACTAAACTGTTCATGATAAAACTGACAACTGAACTGACAGCTCTACCAGTGTTGCTGGATGAGAGTATCATTCTGTTGTCACACTGGACTGTCACTAACATTGCATCTGTATCCTGTTACAGGGGAGATCTTTGAGCTGAAGGCAGAGCTGAACAATGAGAAGAAGGAGAAGAGGAAGGAGGCAGTGAAGAAGGTCATTGCGGCTATGACTGTGGGCAAGGATGTCAGGTACAGTACAGCTGATTGCATCCTTTGACAGTTCTGTGTGTTGACCTATACATCCCTCTGACATTATCTAATGACATGGTGTCTGCAGCTTCTGCTCTCCAAACACTGTTCAGCAATTACTTTTACTTTAATGTAAAAGAGACTGCCTACTTGCTATAGTTAGCAAGTTATGTATGATAATCTCTATTATTAAAAATATTTAATTGCAAAATGTTCTGACTTGATATGTAGAGTTATAATTGCCTCCCTGTCAAAATATTGTGAGTTATAGTGATGAGCTAACATTGACGATGTCCTATCCCTCTGTCCTTTAGCTCCCTCTTCCCAGACGTGGTGAACTGCATGCAGACTGACAACCTGGAGCTGAAAAAGCTGGTCTACCTGTACCTGATGAACTACGCCAAGAGCCAGCCCGACATGGCCATCATGGCTGTCAATAGCTTTGTCAAGGCAAGGCCTTTTATTTTTTGATACATGGTTTTCCACTTGCTTTGGCTTTTAACATATTACACAGCCTAGCCATTACAATACTGCACTTCCCTACCCATAGATATCTTACCTCTCTCTCCCTCAGGACTGTGAGGACCCTAACCCCCTGATCCGGGCCCTGGCCGTGCGCACCATGGGCTGCATCCGCGTGGACAAGATTACAGAGTACCTGTGTGAGCCGCTGAGGAAGTGTCTGAAGGACGAGGACCCATACGTGAGAAAGACGGCAGCAGTGTGCGTGGCAAAGCTCCACGACATCAACGCCCAGATGGTGGAGGACCAGGGTTTCCTGGACTCCCTCAGGGACCTCATTGCCGACTCCAACCCCATGGTATGTAAGGCTGGCAGTAGGCCCCTAGGCACAACCCAGACTATGTACATATCTGTGTGTATATCATATCTATGTACATACATGTCAGGCGAAATTCTCAGACTTTTCTTATACACTTCATTCGTGGGCCTGGGGTAATTTAAAAACAGCCTGTAAGGGTGTTTTTCCAATACCTGTTTCAACAGAGTTAGTCATGATTAATACTATTTCCCCTATGAAAGGCTTTGCTCACCATGCCAGACAAGACCGAGTACATCATGTTTTCCTAATCACTGGCCACTGTGTCTGAACCTCCAGGTGGTGGCCAACGCGGTGGCAGCTCTGTCTGAGATCAGTGAGTCCCACCCCAACAGCAACCTGCTGGACCTCAACCCACAGAACATCAACAAGCTGCTGACGGCCCTCAACGAGTGCACCGAGTGGGGCCAGATCTTCATCCTGGACTGCCTGTCCAACTACAACCCCAAAGACGAGCGCGAGGCCCAGAGGTACGCACACACGTTTTGTCGGCCCTTCAAACAAATAGATTAACTGAGTTAGTTCTGAAAACTTTTTGGATTTTCTATTTTTTTAAAATAGAAACTAAACTTAAAGCTGACTTAGTTGTCAGAGTAACATATTTGCAATACTCATCCAAGTTTTGTTTTGTGAGAACTTTTAAATGTTTGTTTGCAAATGTCTAAATCCTGCTTCATGGTACTATGCTGCCCAAAGGTCTTGTGAAATTTATATTTTCTTCTACTTTATGGTTGCCAGCCAATACATTTCTCGTCTTAGCCACACCAGTGCCACATACAAGGGAAACAAACTGAGACATTGCTGTGCTCCACTGTTTATATGCCCTTGCTGTTTGTTTAAATGTGGTTACACAGTATCACATCAATCATTCTAAATAGGGTCTAGAGATGCACAAACTTGCATATATTCATCCCAATATGTACATAAACATACAGACCACCAGATCCGTATAATTGCCTTATCAAAAAATACAACAAGTAGTTATCTCCTGTGCTGGTAGTTGTGATAAATCTCCACAATAAGTCCTGTGGACTAAATCTTTATCAGCTGCTGCGTTTGTGCATACATTCACTTGTTATGGTGTTGTCAACTTTTAATGACTTTGTAATATATGGATTGCACTAATAAACCTGTCTGTCCTCCACTTTCTCTCCCAGCATCTGCGAGCGGGTCACGCCCCGTCTCTCCCACGCCAACTCGGCGGTGGTGCTGTCGGCTGTCAAGGTGCTGATGAAGTTCCTGGAGCTGCTGCCCAAGGAGTCGGACTACTACAACACCCTGCTGAAGAAGCTGTCCCCACCGCTGGTCACCCTTCTCTCTGGGGAGCCAGAGGTCCAGTATGTGGCCCTCAGGAATATCAACCTCATCGTCCAGAAAAGGTCAGGGGGCAACTTGCTGATAAATACTTTATTGTAGGGCTGGGCGATTTTACGATTGCATCGTCTATCGATGATGTTTGACAGCCATTGTCTATGGTGACGACATCGTGATGTTCAAACGATGTTGTAGCATATTTGAACTTGACTGCACAGCCGGTGTCTGGCAGCACACAACAGCACAGCGCAGTGAGCACACAGCAGGGCAACATGCCCAATGGCCCATTCCCTATTTGCCATATTTAGTATTTATTAGGATCCCCAATTAGCTGCCGCCGAGGCAGTGGTTACTTTTCCTGGGGTCCAAACAGGAAACAACATAACAAATCAAATACATAATATACATAGCACTACATTTACATCACAATTTAGCCATTCAGCAGACGCTCCCACCCAGAGCGACCCACAGCTAGTGCATTCATCTTAAGATAGCCAGGCGAGACAACCACATCTCACAGTCATATTCCAACCACGTATCACATACATAATGCAAAATACAATACAATATGCATAAAAATGTCAGTGTCTCTTCACAATCCCTGTCGTGCCGTAAGGTGTTCTTTTATCTGTTTTTTAAAATCTGTTTTCTTTTGCTAGCTTGAGTTACCTGGGGTGGCAGAGAGTTCCATTTAGTCATGGCTCTATTTAATACTGTGTGTTTCCCATCCTCTGTTCTGGACCTGGGGACTGTGAAGAGACCTCTGGTTGCATGTCTTGTGTGATACCGATGAGTGTCCGAACTGTGTGCCAACTGCTTGAACAGACAGCTTGGTACCTTCAATACATCAACACCTCGCACAAAGACCAATAGTGATGCAGTCAATCTCTCCTCAACTTTGAGCCAGGAGAGATTGACATGCATGTCATTGACATTAGCCCTCCGTGTACATCTAAGTGCAATACGTGCTGCTCTGTTTTGGACCAACTGCAATTTGCCTATGTCCTTCTTTGCCGCACCTGACCACACAACTGGACAGTAGTCCAGGTGAGACAAACTAGGGCCTGTAGTACCCGTCTGATTGACCTAGATATCAAGAAAGTAGAGCAACGCCTTATCATGGACAGACCTCTTCCCATTTTAGTAACCATTTGAGTCTATATGTTTTGACCATGATAGCTTGCTATCTAGGGTGACACCCAGCAGTTTAGTCTATTCAACTTGCTCAATAGGCACATTATTAAATAATAGATCCAGATGATGCTTTGAGTTTTTTAAATATTTTGCATCAGCCAATTGCTAGTTACCCATTCTAAAACTGACTGGAGCGCTATGTTAAGGGTGTCAGTTATTTATTTTACTGTTGCAGCCGACGTGTATTCTGCTGAGTCGTCAGTGTACATGGACACAGGCTTTATTCAAGGTCAGTGGAAAGTCATTAGTAAACACAGAAAACAATAATGGTCCAAGCCGGCTACCCTGCGGTACACCACACTCAACCGAATTTGCATTAGAGAGGCTTCCATTAAAGAAAACCCTCTGTGTTCTATTGACTAGGTAACTTTCCATCCATGATAAGGCAGAGGATGTTAATTCATAACACCTACGTTTTTCCAGCAATATGTTATGGTCAATGACATACACATACAAATGACAACATCATACAAACATCAACAACATCACACCAACCCAGACCCACTAGCACACATCCCCATCTCCAGCGCCCGCATCACTTTCCGACACATGGCCTGAAACGGCACCATTTTTTTCTTGCCGTAGCCCACACACTTTCAATATTTTAACAATAAATCATTAGATTTTTCCATCGTGTTAATGATGGCGGTTTGATTGATTTCCACGTTTTTAGTATACGTTTTTTCAAGATGAGTGATGAGAAGAGAATCGTCCAACCCATCGGGTATCTCACTACACCCATGTATGCCATGACTTGAAATATGCAGACAGACGGATTAAAAGTATGTTTACATTGTAATACTTCTGACAGCCAACTTTCTAGCTCCACCCACAACTTCTGGACTTTATAGCGTTCCCAGAAAGCATGGATTATTGAGTCATTATTAGTATTACACTTAAGACATGACTCTGCCGTTGTGCTGTAGAATTTGTACATTTTGTCTCTTGTATAATAAATTCTACACATTAGCATATACTGGATTAAGTGTCCATTTTCATTAACTGTAATTTCGTTAGTTATGCTCCAACTTTCCCTCCATCTAGTGCCAACATCAGTTCTTTTTAAGTCTTGGCTCTAATAGTTTATATATTTTTTTCTAAGAGATTGTCAGTTGGATATGCTCTCTGCAATGTTTTGTATATTTCCCTTATCATATGAACATCCTTTCTGACTCAAATAAGATTCCCTAAATTTGCTAATCTTGTCAACAAAAAAGTTTATGAAGTGGTTGGCAATATCAAAGGGTTTTGTTATGATGAAGGGTGGAGCTGAGTTAGCTGCCTAAAATTTCATTTAAGGTACTCCAGAGCTTTTTACTATCATTCTTTATATCATTTATCTTTGTTCCATAGCCTACATTTTCAGTACATACAGTACCAGTCAAAAGTTTGGACACACCTACTCATTCAAGGGTTTTTCTTAATTTTTACTATTTTCTACATTGTAGAATAATAGTGAAGACATCAAAACTATGAAATAACACATATGGAATTATGTAAACTCAGCAAAAAAAGAAACGTCCTCTCACTGTCAACTGCGTTTATTTTCAGCAAACTTAACATGTGAAAATATTGGTATGAATATAACAAGATTCAACAACTGAGACCCAAACTGAAGAAGTTCCACAGACATGTGACTAAAATAAATTGAATAATGTGTTCCTGAACAAAGGGGGGGTCAAAATTAAAGTGACACACCGCCCCAGACCATGACGGACCCTCCACCTCCAAATCGATCCCGCTCCAGAGTACAGGCCTCGGTGTAACGCTCATTCCTTCAACGATAAACACGAATCCGACCATCACCCCTGGTGAGACAAAACCGCGACTCGTCAGTGAAGAGCACTTTTTGCCAGTCCTGTCTGGTCCAGTGACAGTGGGTTTGTGCCCATTGGCGACGTTGTTTCCGGTGATGTCTGGTGAGGACCTGCCTTACAACAGGCCTACAAGCCCTAAGTCCAGCCTCTCTCAGCCTATTGCGGACAGTCTGAGCACTGATGGAGGGATTGTGCGTTCCTGGTGTAACTTGGGCAGTTGTTGTTGCCATCCTGTACCTGTCCCGCAGGTGTGATGTTCGGATGTACCGATCCTGTGCAGGTGTTGTTACACGTGGTCTGCCACTGCGAGGACGATCAGCTGTCCGTCCTGTCTTCCTGTAGCGCTGTCTTAGGCGTCTCACTGTACGGACATTGCAATTTATTGCCCTGGCCATATCTGCAGTCCTCATGCCTCCTTGCAGCAAGCCTAAGGCACGTTCACGCAGATGAGCAGGGACCCTGGGCATCTTTCTTTTGGTGTTTTTCAGAGTCAGTAGAACGGCTTCTTTAGTGTCCTAAGTTTTCATAACTGTGACCTTAATTGCCTACCGTCTGTAAGCTGTTTGTGTCTTAATGACCGTTCCACAGGTGCATGTTCATTCATTGTTTATGGTTCATTGAAAAAGCATGGGAAACCCTTTAAACCCTTTAAAATTAAGATCTGTGTTTATTTTGATTTTTACGAATTATCTTTGAAAGACAGGGAAAAATGAACATTTAGTAACCAAAGAAGTGTTAAACAAATCAAAATATATTTTATATTTGAGATTCTTCAAATAGCCACCCTTTGCCTTTATGACAGCTTTGCACACTCTTGGTATTCTCTCAACCAGCTTCACCTGGAATGCTTTTCCAACAGTGTTGAAGGAGTTCCCACATATGCTGAACACTTGTTGGCTGCTTTTCCTTCACTCTGCCGTCCGACTCATCCCAAACCATCTCAATTTGGTTGAGGTCGGGTGATTGTGGTGGCCAGGTCATCTGATGCAGCACTCCATCACTCTCCTTCTTGGTAAAATAGACCTTACACAGCCTGGAGGTGTTTTGGGTCATTGTCCTGTTGAAAAACAAATGATAGTCCCACTAAGCCCAAGCCAGATAGGATGGCGTATCGCTGCAGAATGCTGTGTTAGTCATGCTGGTTAAGTGTGCCTGGAATTCTAAATAAATCACAGACAGTGTCACCAGCAAAGCACCCCCACACCATAACATCACCTCCTCCATGCTTTATGGTGGGAACTACACATGCAGAGATCATCCGTTCACCCACACCGCGTCTCACAAAGACACGGCGGTTGGAACCAAAAATCTCAAATTTGGACTCCAGACCAAAGGACACATTTCCACCGGTCTAATGTCCATTGCTGATGTTGAGATGTGTCTGTGACTTGAACTCTGAAGCATTTATTTGGGCTGCAATTTCTGAGGCTGGTAACTCTAATGAACTTATCCTCTGCAGCAGAGGTAACCCTGGGTCTTCCATTCCTGTGGCGGTCCTCATGAGAGCCAGTTTCATCATAGCGCTAGATGGTTTTTGCGACTGCACTTGAAGAAACTTTCAAAGTTCTTGAAATGTTCCGTATTGACTGACCTTCATGTCTTAAAGTAATGATGGACTGTTGTTTATCTTTGCTTATTTGAGCTGTTCTTGCCATAATATGGACTTGGTCTTTTACCAAAAAATGGCTATCATCTGTATACTCCCCTACCTTGTCACAACACAACTGGTTGGCTCAAACGCATTAAGAAGGGAAGAAGTTCCACAAATTAACTTTTTAGAAGGCACACCTGTTAATTGAAATGCATTCCAGGTGACTACCTCATGAAGCTGGTTGAGAGAATACCAAGAGTGTGCAAAGCTGTCATCAAGGCAAATGGTGTCTATTTGAAGAATCTCAAATATAAAATATATTTTGATTCATTTAACACTTTTTTGGTTACTACATGATTCCGTATGTGTTATTTCATAGTTTTGATGTCTTCACTATTATTCTACAATGTAAAAATAAAGAAAAACCCTTGAATGAGTAGGTGTGTCCAAACTTTTGACTGGTACTGTATGTGGTAGTTAGACTATTAACATAATGCAAGAGAACAATGTAGATTGTAGAAAGAGCAGCGAGCACCAAAGCAGCGCGAAATGTCAGATAGGGCCTAACATGTTTTTTTCCCCCCTCTCCAATGTCGGGTGATCATGGGCCTTTTCCGTTGTCTGGCTTATTGTTTTAATATCTTAATTTCCCTTTTTCTCCCCAATCCCCATTCAATTTTAACTTGGCATAGCATACTCTTTCATTATCAACCATCAAATGAATGTTTAGGCCTAACAGAGTTCCATCTCAGAAAGTTGTTTGCGAATAGCCTAAATAAAAACATAGTATAGTAATAATGAGAGAGAGAATAAACAATTGCAAGATAAACTAATCGAATAGGAAATTGACCAAAGTGTAGGCAAAATAGATTGTGCTGTCAGAAACTTCCTCCATGCAAACCAAATAGCCAATAATAGGCTATAGCCTACACATAGGCTACTTCAATAAAAGTTACAGTAGGCTAAATGTTACTTTTACAAGTTAAACTTATAAACTAATATTGTCAGTGTTTATTCGTGTCCTTGAATTGCGCTATGGGCAATCGAGCATAAGCTCCCACAGCAGCACTTTCAATAAGCGGGAACAAAACATAAATGAATGATGAGTCGGTGTCGTAGTTGTCTCACAAACAATTTTAGTTTGAATAGCTTACAAATTGTGCATTTATATAAAAGTCAACAATAGTCAGATAAAACAAATTATTATTTAGCCTATAACATTCTTTATAATACTTAGGCTAAGAACGAATAGGCCTATTATCCTTAGGCAATGCCTTTTGCCTATCGAAATGTAAAAATTCAAAATATACTATCCGATATAACAAATGATTATTAATACAATTCTTTATAACGCTTAAAAACGAATGAACATTGGCATAGGCTAAAATCTAATAGGACTATTAGGATATGCCTATCGAACTGTACACATCTTAAATATAGGCCTAGAAGTTACAAAATAAATAAATTAGCCTAAACAAAATAAGAATGAAAGTAACCTAAATGAGTGCAAAAAAACTAACAGTGCAAATAAGTCTTAGTAAAGTACAATGAGGAACCATTAGGTCTAGTTGTTTTTTACCATGTCTTAGTCCTACCTAAAGGTTTCTGGCAAGGAACACCAACATGTTCACCTTTTCTGCCCTAGAGAAGCAAACTCAGGAGGATGATGGACTTGTAAATGTTGACAGAGGTTTGTAGTTTGTCCATCCTTTGCCCATCCTTTGCCCTGATAATCTTTTTGCGTATTCTGCAAGTGACTTCGGTCAGAACTGCCAATAGGCAAAGAAATTATTTCTTTCCCACCAGGTCAGCCATAATTTTTTTTCTGATTTAGCGCAAGGCAGGCTATACTATAGGTACTAAGTGAAATCCCATCCCATCCCTTTTTTTTTTTTTGCAGACAAACTGTCAAAGTAGCCTAATGGAAGAATGTTGCAAATGCGCTTACCCAGATGATCAAGATTAAATAACAATAGCCTACACTTGATATGGCTATAATATTCATTTTTAATAGGTAGGCTAATATAACTGATATCTGAGTATTTTTATGGACAAGAGAGAAACATAGCCCTACCAATTTGAAAACCTAGACTAGCCTCCAAGGGATCAGGGCTGGAACAGAGCCATCCAAATGTAGTTTGCTGATGTCAACGTTGTGAACCCCATGGTGGCGGTGGGGTTATGGTATGGGCAGGCATAAGCTACGGACATGAAAACAATTGCATTTTATCGATGGCAATTTGAATGCACAGAGATACCGTGACGAGATCCTGAGGCCCATTGTCGTGCCATTCATCCGCCGCCATCACCTCATGTTTTAGCATGATAATACACGGCCCCATGTCAGAAGGATCTGTACACAATTCCTGGATGCTGAAAATGTCCCAGTTGTTCCATGGCCTGCAGACTCACCAGACATGTCACCCATTGAGCATGTTTGGGATGCTCTGGATCGACGTGTAGGACGGCATGTTCCAGTTCCCGCCAATATCCAGCAACTTCACAAAGCTATTGAAGAGGATTGGGACAACATTCCACAGGCCACAATCAACAGGCTGATTAACTCTATGTATTAGGAGATGTCGCGCTGCATGAGGCAAATGGTGGTCACACCAGATACTGACTGGTTTTCTGATTCACGCCCCTAACTTTTTTCTTTTAGGGTATCTGTGACCAACAGATGCATATCTGTATTTCCAGTCATGTGCAATCCATAGATTAGGGCCTAATGAATTTAGTTAAATTGACTAATTTCCTTCTATGAACTGTAACTCAGTAAAATCTTAGAAATTGTTGCATGTTGCGTTTTTAAATTTTTGTTCAGTGTATTTCTTTTAAATTGTTGGACATAAAAGACTGTAAAAACACCAGCAGGTCAGCTCCAAGTGATTTTAGTTTTGGAAATCTGTTCCAAAGTATTCCCACGCATAATAGAGATATATACTGTATGTGATCGTATACAAATGCAAGCAAGGTTTGAAATTATTATGTTTTAGTCAAATATTATATCTGTTTCGGCTTCTTACGGTCAATTTGCAGTCCTGACCATCCGCTCAAGAAAATATCAGCCCACGGCTGAATCTAGTTAATTATCCCTTGTTTAGCCCTTTCTAAATTAATCCTTCAGTGATGTGGAATGTTTGATGTTAGATAAGACTGTTTCGTTAAGATGTTTTGGCACAATGTTTTAGTTTTGTGCCATCCTCACTTCCTTGCCACTAGATGACAGCATGTATCTTCCTATGTACCCTTCCCCTCTCTCAGCTCTGTTGGTTCAGATTAGGACCAGATGGATAGATCGATGTTCTGTTCCTATAATAAATGTCATCTCTACTCTTTAGGCCTGAGATCCTGAAGCAGGAGATCAAGGTGTTCTTTGTCAAGTACAATGACCCCATCTACGTAAAACTTGAGAAACTGGACATCATGATTCGCCTGGCCTCCCAGGCCAACATAGCCCAGGTACCGCTCATGGAACCCCATACCTCAGTCAATGGAAGTCTACAATGAGTGTACAAAACATTATGAACACCTTCCTAATATTGAGTTGCACCCCCTTTTGCCCTCAGAACAGCCTCAATTCGTCAGGGCATGGACTCTACAAGGTGTCGAAAGCGTTCCACAGGGATGCTGGCCCATGTTGATGCCAGTGCTTCCCACAGTTGTGTCAAGTTGGCTGGATGTCCTTTGGGTGGTGGACCATTCTTGATACACAGGTGAAACTGTTGAGCGTGAAAAACCCAACAGTGTTGAAGTTCTTGACACACTCAAACCAGTGTGCCTGGCACCTACCAGGGTTCGTATTGTCATGAAAATCCTGAAAAAGTCATGGCATTTTTAAATGGTGTTTTCCAGGCCTGGAAAAGTTTTGGAGAATCTGAAATGTTTTGGAAAAGTCATGGAAATTGTTAATAATTTCTGTTGATGTAATTTATTTAGGCACAGTTAAATATTTTATCAATCAAATATAATCAACATATTAGCCAGGATCGGTATGCATAGTGCAAGACAAGTGGGCCGTTGCTCAAGGAGTGAGAGACAGTCGGACATTGCATCAGCAGGTAGGCCTATAAAATATAATAGAGAACAGATTACATCAATGATGGTCAACCATCCTCCAGGAGAGCTTATGGGTGTGCAGGTTTTTATTCCAGTCCCTCTCTGACAAACCACAGTTTAGAAATGAACTGCTCAACCGGACCTTGATAAACTGGCCCTGATGTGTTTGAGCAGGGCTTGATCAAAAGCCTGAACACCCAGTAGCTCTCCAGACTGAGGGCTGACCACGTGTTTTATACAGTTGCCTAACAGGTGTTCTACTTTGTGGGGGGGTTAAGTGCCTTGTACAGTGACAGGAGATGGTACATGGGATCAGAGAGCAGCCTCCCAGTGTCGATACCACATTACGCTTTTTTATAAGTACATAGAGATGCCAACAATTGTTGGCCATGGACATTTGGTTAAAGGTCATGAAATTCCATCTGTCAAAATGTGTATAAACCCTGCTACTACCATTCAAAGGCACTTAAATATTTTCTTGCCCATTCACCCTCTGAATGGCACACATACACAATCCATGTCTCAATTGTCTCAAAGCTTAAAAATCCTTCTTTAACCTGTCTCCTCCCTTCATCTACGCTGATTGAAGTGACATCAATAAGGGATCATAGCTTTCACCTGGTCAGTCTGTCATGGAAAGAGCAGGTGTTCCTAATGTTTTGTTCACTCAGTGTATATTAGGGTGTTCATTTCTCATGATTTACTGTACATCATTATATACTTAGTCACTCTACACAGAAAACTATCGTTGTACCATTTTGGTGAAGCTAGCTCAGTACTGTGTATGTTTATTTTTTATACTGTATATGTTTGACTTATAATAATGGTATTGGCCCTCAGAAATATAACGTTTTGTTAACATAACAACATGGCCCTCAGAAAGCATAGCTTATTCAAAACCCGACTTCCATCCATCTGTTCAGCCGCACCTCTATATCGAAGACTAATTTCAACAGAAACGTTCATATCCCAATGCTTCACTCCTAATCAGTCTTAGCTGGTGCTCTGAGCGGCATCCTGTCAGACGATGCCTTAATGAACACATGTTTTAGATAGCGGATGTGCTCGCTTCCTTCGCGGTTAAGAGCCGAGATAGCTGTCAGCGTGATTGACAGCTAAGGCAGGCTCAGACAAGCTCGCTGTAAATGAGCCATTACAGTCCAACAGAGACACACTCCCTGGATAAACACTGTCTATGAGGGAGGCTTTGGTAGCTTCTCTGACTGGCCTTGGGTAGCTTAGCCTTGTCTGCGTACACAATTTACTAACCTCAACCTTATCTCCTCAACCTATTCGCTTACAGTGTCAAGATGTTTGCTTGTCCTCACAACGTGTGTTTGTGTCATGTTTTTCACTCATATGCCCTGCTCTCTCCCCAGGTGTTGGCTGAGCTGAAGGAGTACGCCACCGAGGTGGACGTTGACTTTGTGCGTAAGGCAGTGAGGGCCATCGGACGCTGTGCCATCAAAGTGGAGGTTGGAATCTGAGACACCATCATAGACGGACACACAGAGGATCTCTGATCAATGTCTATCTGAAATTCAGATTTTATAGCTGTTCCATAAAAGTGCCATCCAATCCTATAAAGTTGTTTGAAGGAGTTTAAACGAGGTACTTTGGCCACTGTGATTTTTAAAAATGTTGGGTCAGTGTTGACTCTGTTCCTGTTGTCTCCTTTTTAGCAATCTGCTGAGCGCTGTGTTAGCACCCTGCTGGACCTCATCCAGACCAAGGTGAACTATGTGGTGCAGGAGGCCATCGTGGTCATCAGGGACATATTCCGCAAATACCCCAACAAGTAGGTGTCCTTTTTCCTCCGTTCCCGATAATTATCAATGAAGTTGGAGATTTCTTTCCTCATTCTTTTCTTTTGTTTTTCAGTAGGGGCTATACTGCCCCTGTCTGTCTATACAATACCTTTTGTTTTTCAGTAGGGGCTATACTGCCCCTGTCTGTCTATACAATACCTTTTGTTTTTCAGTAGGGGCTATACTGCCCCTGTCTGTCTATACAATACCTTTTGTTTTTCAGTAGGGGCTATATTGCCCCTGTCTGTCTATACAATACCTTTTGTTTTTCAGTAGGGGCTATACTGCCCCTGTCTGTCTATACAATACCTTTTGTTTTTCAGTAGGGGCTATACTGCCCCTGTCTGTCTATACAATACCTTTTGTTTTTCAGTAGGGGCTATACTGCCCCTGTCTGTCTATACAAGACCTTTTGTTTTTCAGTAGGGGCTATACTGCCCCTGTCTGTCTATACAATACCTTTTGTTTTTCAGTAGGGGCTATACTGCCCCTGTCTGTGTCTATACAAGACCTTTGTACATCCCCAGGCCCAGACGGACACTAGTATATAACCTGACCCTTTGTATTCTTTCTCTCTCCTCAGGTATGAGAGCATCATCGCCACGCTGTGTGAGAACCTGGACTCTCTGGACGAGCCAGATGCGCGCGCCGCCATGATCTGGATCGTGGGCGAGTATGCTGAGAGGATCGACAACGCCGACGAACTGCTGGAGAGCTTCCTGGAGGGCTTCCATGACGAGAGCACGCAGGTCAGTTGTCCCAGAGCACTCAGGTCAGTTGTCCCAGAGCAGATTACTCAGGTCAGTTGTCCCAGAGCACCCAGGTCAGTTGTCCCAGAGCACTCAGGTCAGTTGTCCCAAAGCACTCAGGTTAGTTATCCCAGAGCAGAGCACCCAGGTTAGTTGTCCCAGAGCACTCAGGTCAGTTGTCCCAGAGCAGAGCACCCAGGTCAGTTGAGGTCAGCAACCCTGGTCCTCTGCCCAGTTTCTAAGCTACCTCTACCCCCAGGACACTTAATATAAATCTGTTGGTTTCATTTTACAATCTTAATGCCAGATTGCCTGGATGATGCGTTTGGGACTTTTACACCCTGACAGAAATTTAACTAGGGCAAAAACTGGATTGGATATGGTTATAGCTCCAACTTGCCCTTGTATGTAATTTATGCTATATTGCTTTCATTAAAGTCATGTTTTCAGTTCTACACATGTGCCTTAGGGATAGGGGCTAGGAGTTGATTTGGTCCAGCCCTAACAGTAATAACCTTTTATCTGGGTTTGGCAGCTACTTTCACTATTTGAGCAGATATGAGGTTGGGTCAGACCATTCACAGCCTTGGGGGTGTGTTGTTTCAGGTCCAGCTCACTCTTCTCACAGCCATCGTTAAGCTTTTCCTCAAGAAGCCCTCTGAGACTCAGGAGCTGGTACAGCAGGTCCTCAGTCTGGCCACACAGGTGAGACACACACATACACACACCAACACGTCTCCCTCTTTTTCTTCAAACTGTCCCAAACTTAAACTCATCACTGTCTATTCTCAGCTGTGATTCCTCCCCCTTGTGTCCTCCTAGGACTCCGACAACCCTGACCTGCGTGACAGGGGTTACATCTACTGGCGCCTGCTGTCCACCGACCCGGTGACTGCCAAGGAGGTGGTCTTGTCCGAGAAGCCCCTGATCTCGGAGGAGACAGACCTGATTGAGCCCACCCTGCTGGACGAGCTCATTTGCCACATTGGCTCCCTGGCCTCCGTCTACCACAAGCCCCCCAACGCCTTCGTGGAGGGAAGCCACGGCATCCATCGCAAGCACCTGCCCATCCAGCACGGCAGGTGAGACACAGTTACCAGGAAGTTACTCAGTTACCAAAGTCCCAGGAAGACACACTCAGCTAACCTCCAAACAACACGTCCCTCCCCATCTAGCGCAACACATAGGCAATCATTGCTTACACACAAATACCAACATCTGCTCCCCCATATAAATGAAATAGAATATTCATTACGTACTGTATATCTATGTGCCCTCCTCTCTTCCCACCTCTCAGCATTGACACAGGCGAGAGCCCTGTGAGCGCAGGGCCAGCAGCCCCTATTGAACAGGCCCAGTCAGTCATACCCCTCCCAGGGAGACCTGCTGGGAGACCTACTCAACCTGGACCTGGGTCCCCCCGTCAACGTGCCCCAGGTCTCCTCCATGCAGATGGGTGCTGTCGACTTGCTGGGCGGAGGCCTCGACAGCCTGGTGAGTGAGAGATACATACACACACAATTGCAAACAACATGCTCACGTAAAGGTTTATTTACAGTTGAAGTCAGAAGTTTACATACACCTTAGCCAAATACATTTAAACTCAGTTTTTCACAATTCCTGACATTTAATCCTAGTAAAAATTCCCTGTCTTAGGTCAGTTAGGATCACCACTTTATTTTAAGAATGTGAAATGTCAGAATAATAGTAGAGAGAATTATTTATTTAAGCTTTTATTTCTTTCATCACATTCCCAGTGGGTCAGAAGTTTACATACACTCAATTAGTATTTGGTAGCATTGCCTTTAAATTGTTTAATTTAGGTGAAACATTTTGGGTAGCCTTCCACAAGCTTCCCACAATAAAGTTGGGTGAATTTTGGCCGTTCCTCCTGACAGAGCTGGTGTAACTGAGTCAGGTTTGTAGGCCTCCTTGCTCACACACGCTTTTTCAGTTCGCCCACACATTTTCTATAGGATTGAGGTCAGTTCTTTGTGATGGCCACTCCAATACCTTGACTTTGTTGACCTTAAGCCATTTTGCCACAACTTTGGAAGTATGCTTGGGGTCATTGTCCATTTGGAAGACCCATTTGCGACCAAGCTTTAACTTCTTGACTGATGTCTTGAGATGTTGCTTCAATATATCCACATAATTGTCCTTCCTCATGATACCATCTATTTTGTGAAGTGCACCAGTCCCTCCTGCAGCAAAGCACCCCCACAGCATGATGCTGCCACCCCTGTGCTTCACGGTTGGGATGGTGTTCTTCGGCTTGCAAGCAACCCCCTTTTTCCTCCAAACATAACGATGGTCATTATGGCCAAACAGTTCTATTTTTGTTTCATCAGACCAGAGGACATTTCTCCAAAAAGTACGATCTTTGTCCCCATGTGCAGTTGCAAACCGTAGTCTGGCTTTTTTATGGCGGTTTTGGAGCAGTGGCTTCTTCCTTGCTGAGCGGCCTTTCAGGTTATGTCGATATAGGACTTGTTTTACTGTGGATGTAGATACTTTTGTACCTGTTTCCTCCAGCATCTTCACAAGGTCCTTTGCTGTTGTTCTGGGATTGATTTGCACTTTTCTAACCAAAGTTCGTTCATCTCTAGGAGACAGAACGCGTCTCCTTCCTGAGCGGTATGATGGCTGCGTAGTTCCATGGTGTTTATACTTGCGTACTATTGTTTGTACAGATGAAAGTGGTACCTTCAGGCGTTTGGAAAATGCTCCCAAGGATGAACCAGACTTGTGGAGGTCTACCATTTTTTTTCTGAGGTCTTGGCTGATTTCTTTTGATTTTCCCATGATGTCAAGCAAAGAGGCACTGAGTTTGAAGGTAGGTCTTGAAATACATCCACAGGTACACCTCCAATTGACTCTAATGATGTCAATTAGCCTATCAGAAGCTTCTAAAGCCATGACTTCATTTTCTGGAATTTTCCAAGCTGTTGAAAGGCACAGTCAATTTAGTGTATGTACACTTCTGACCGACTGGAATTGTGATACAGTGAAATAATCTGTCTGTAAACAATTGTTCGAAAAATTACTTGTGTCATGCACAAAGTAGATGTCCTAACCGACTTGCCAAAACTATAGTTTGTTAACAAGAAATTTGTGGAGTGGTTGAAAAAAAGTTTTAATGACTCCAACCTAAGTGTATGTAAACTTCCGACTTCAACTGTATCTCTGCTGGGATGGTGGGATTGTAAATCTAGTCCATGAGGGATCAATAGGACAGCACTCTTCTTATGTTTTATTGTGCCATGAACAATGTGGACAGTATAGTCTCCTTTTAGCGTGGCTGTCAGTGTGCATTCCCCGGTCTGAGTTGAGCTGAGATGATGTAGGGCCTCCTGGCTGACACAGCGATGGTGGTGTATGCTGAGCTGTGGCCACAGAGATCTACTATGTCAGTGAGAAGCCTGTCTCCCTGTCCCTGATTGATCTGCCAGACACTGGTACAAAGAGGCAGGCAGGGCAGGGACGTCACGATGATTCACAGCTTCACACTGACATCTCAATACAGCAGAGACACGAGGCGGAGGCTTGGCACGCCATGGTGGCACTGGCACGCACACAACAAACCAAAGTTTGGTCTTAATGGTACAGGGTGGTAGCGTCTTGTCAGGTTGTATGTTGCTAATATTATTGCACTGTCAAGATAGTTTTTGGCTTTATGCAGATTAGTTGTTTTGGTTGACAAGATGGTGCATATTAATTAACATTTCAGTTTTTACATCTAAAACGTCCTAGTTAGCCAGCTGTAAAAAGCAAATTTCCACCCATGGTGTAACAATGTGATAATGATTTGAGTGTGGTTTGGCATGTGGGTCTTGTTGTTTTATGACTGCTCTGGAATGAGCAGCGGCTTTTTGGGAAGCTCTATTAATGTCTCTTATGTTTTAGGGAGACCTCCTCCTCTTGACAGACAAAGTCATTATAGCTTTTTAATGATATTAGCTGGTGATTGTGTTCTCAACCCTAGCCTGAAAGGACAGCCGCAGCTGTTGTTCTACTCTACTGATAGGGAAAGAAATGGTGTCAGACTGTATACATATACAAAATAGTGTTGTAGCTTGTAGTGTTGTTCAGAAAGGAAACACAATGTATTCATTTAACCATTTATTAGAAAGTAAATGACAATACATTAGGTCTTGGCATTAGGCTCTGCAGTTTAAGGGTAGCTCATTGCCATAGCAATTAGGGGTGTGAACGATTCAACGAAATTAGGACGTTAACGTTAAGGAAAAATCTCTAACCAAACAACTGTTTTCTTTCTTGTTTTTTTCCCCAAAAATTTAAATCACAGTGCAGTTATCACAAAACTACCACAAACAGGTCCCGATCATCATCATAAGGGAAAAACCTAAATTAAACAAATACCCAACGCAACAGTGCTGTAACGTTAGTAGGAGATATGCATCTTTCGAATTATTTGCCACGAATATTAAGCACGTCATCGTGGTTAAATTGGAAAAATGACAGAGAAAGGCAAGCGACCGCGGCGAACAGCCTGCTCTGCCCGAGTCAGTACAGTATAATTGAGTCTGCTAAGCTGTGTTTTTAGCTGACCCAACAAGTACGGACTGACTGTTGGGAACATGTCTACAACTTCATCAGCAAGCTGTCAAACTATCGTAAATAAGTGACAAGCTACACTTAGTTTATCAGTGCAGTGACGAACATCCTTAACTAGCTAGCTAAAATTCCATCCCTGTGTTTGTCAGTGAAGCTAGTTAGAAGCAGGCAGGCTACAACAAGCTAAATCAGATGATGAAATCACTGACGGCCAATATACTTGCACATATTTTGTGCAGGAGTAGAGAGATGTTTTTGTTTTTACTACTGTAGTGTCGAGTTAACGTTGCTAATTATGCTGTGTGACCAAGGAGGACCCGCTGACGCTGTATTTTTATCATAAGGTTTATTCATAACAAAGGGTTACAGCGTCGATTTACAGATACCTGCAGATACCCGGAGAATAATTGCCCCATCTGTAATATGATTATTCTGTCTTCCTTTCTCCCAACTGTGGTATATATGCTATGTAATCTGATATGGGTGTTCCCTACAGACCAATCCCAGGAGGACACCTAACAGACTTCCTATTCTATGGTGTGTCACTCTAAAACCGCTCCCTCTAAAACTGAATAAACATCCTCTCAGGTTCCACTTGAAAACATTAGCAAAGTCATAATTCTTCATACACTACACTACTTTCTCACAGTCTATCAGAGTATGTGTCTGTCTGCCCCAGTTCCCGTGTTTCATTGCGAGTGAGTCATGCACAAGACAGATTGCGGGAGACAATGCTCGCGAATGGATTTAGAATTTTCTATTATTGATAAGTGACAGTTGGGACGCCGAGTGTGCATTGTCTCAATGCTCATTTTGGCCAAAACACTTGCAGACTCGAGTGATCACTATTGAACACAACAGCAAGTGGTCACTTGATAAAGGGCTTAGGGCCAAGTATTGAGATTCAGCCTATGACTGCTGTAGATAGAACTTAATTGCCCCCTAGCGGTTATACGCAATAGGACCACAATATGCAATAGGACCATATTATGCATTGTGAATTCACATGGAATTTTATGCATTTTTCTTAGCACTGAGGTGGGAAGTCCCTGCCCGAGTTGTTCATTTGTTAGCTGACATTTTCAAGAGACTACACCTTCAATTGAGAAAAACAATGTGTAAGCTCAACCATGAGGAATCATATTGCCCTAGATACACCACCTCACTCCAAAACTTTTTCCAAAGAACGGCACATTTGTCAATTGGCATTATCCAGGCCAGGGCAACTGTAGTTTGGCGGGGAGTTCAAAGTAGCGAATTAGAGGCCGCGTAGAGCGGGGCCTCGTCGTGATAAGTGATTATTCCGACTGTCTCGCTGTGCTCCTCATCCATCTTGGTTGGCGCTCTCACATTTTAAAGGGCTTCCAATTAAATCTTAATTGGACAGTCATTAAAACTGCAGTGTCGGAGAGGCCAATCGGGGACATCTTACCGTTGTGCTGCTACACAGAATGTTTAAACCGCTCTGCTGAGTAATTACAGTGGGGAGTGAAAGCTACTCTCTTGCCTCTTTGATCAGCCATTCTGCAGGCCTATTTACTGTAAACCCATTTGACCAATTAATGGAATCGATATGGGTTTTAATGAAAGGCAAAGAGCCCTGAACTGAAACAGCCCTCAGTAGTTACAGTTTAGCACTGATAAAGTCAAAGGGCACCCTGACCTTCTCGCAGTCAGAGCCTGGGTTTAAATACTTATGTAAAGGATATTGTGGCTCCAGATTGAACATAGAGCAATAGTTTTATTTGCTATATCTTTGTAAAATAGAAAATAAAAAATCAGGCCTAAGCTGAATGTGGGGCGATTAGGGATGTAACAATTCACCGATATGCATCGGTCCCCGTTCAAATGTTTAAGATATGAGTGCATCGGTCCCCGTTCAAATGTTTAAGATATGAGTGCATCGGTCCCCGTTC